TCTGAAGAGTGCTTGCCTGGTGAGCTCAGTGCTTCGTCGGTATTTGTATCAATAGTTTTCCAGCAATGTTGTACCAGGACAGGCTCATCGAAAAAGTAAGCCTGCTCCAGCAGGCCCACCGCATTTGCAGCTGTGAGACTATTCGTTAGATAGGTACCACAGGCCTTGACCAACATCTTTACATCGTATTTCTTGGCTGAAAAAGCCCAGGTTGGGAGCGCCAGGCTTGCCGAAGCGATCATGCGTCTTTGCACTAAACTCGCAGATCTCAAATAGCAGAATGATCCCTGCACTGTGACCTTGCACTTGAGCTCATACTGGCCGTGTTTTGGCCTCTTTAGGCATGCAGAGGAAAGGGCATCGGCTAGGGTCGCATGGATCTCCACCCCTAAAATTATTTTTTGCATGAAGTCAGGTCGTTTTTTTGGTAAATGCTCGCTCTTTTAAAAAATACAAATTTCATGGAAAACAGGAACGGATTATGAAATCTGCAAACGCACTCGTTTCTGATTTTGTGGTAAAGTTAAGGATTTCATCTCCAAGCAGAACAAAGACCACAGATTAAACACAATATCCCAGCGAAATTTCAGCCACACACCCTATTTGGTAAACGAAATAGCCACTTCACTTCAAATATATTTGAAGTGCCCCAACTCGTCGCGCAAGAGCTAATCGGAACTCAGTTTAAGTATACGATTTCCCATATGGGCGATAAACACATTGATAAAATTTCAGCCACTGTTTTCCGGCCAGTTTTCAAGTGAGCACAGTGCCAAGTAAAAATTTTTAAGTAATCGTACGTGCTGCACAAATGTACGCGACAACTGAATTTGAAATATTTAGCTCGCACATGCACACAGAATATCCCTGCAAAGTTTCGACTTTGTACCTTGCCCGGTTCACGAAACCATCAAAGGAATTTGCATATTTTTTGGGGGGTTCGCATGCGCGATTTAGGCGCGTATGAGCAAAGCTTTTGAAACGGAAGGGTGACCCATGGGGTGGAAAAACGTCCCCAAAATTTCAGCCACTCGGCTTTTCTTGTTGTTGAGTAGCGGTTGTTAAGTCCACTCGCTTCCGAAGGCACAGACAGACCTCCCGACAAGTGCATTTTAGTTCGTTGTAGCAGCGCTATGGCGCTGCTACAGCACTGTGGCTCACATAGCTGCGCAGCAAAAATGCATAAAAAATTGGAAAATGGACACAATCAATACCTGATTCCAGAACTCCTGAAAAGTCCACCCTGCGAACTTATTTTTAAGTACAAAACGCTACAACAAAACCAGCTTTACTTTGAAGAAGTAAAAACCGGAAGGGACGGGGCCGGACGTCGAAGCTAGTCAGAGCAGCGCACCGCTGCCACCATACAACACTTGCAAAATAATGGGGGACTCTTGTCATTTCTTATTAATCACTTTCATATCACATGCGAGGAGGTGGGGTTGAGTCTCAAGGGAAGAGCGGGGAAAAGGGGAGGGAGAAGGAATTTGCATATCACGTGGGAACGCATGACACCTGGGATAAGGGGGATCTGTCACTTATTTTTTTTAAAACATCGCAAAGAAAATGTCTGAGAAGAATCCCTGGGAAAATGTACCCGCATAGAGTGTTTGCATGACAACATCGCCATCCAGTTCTACCGCTGCCACGTTCAGATCGGAATAGATAAAATTGATGAGGGTTTTGAAAGCGCGCGTTGTGACATCTGGCACTTCCACTCTCATTGGTACGCTTTTCGTCTGAGAATCTGCCGAAAGTGAACC